AAATTATCAAGTTTTATATTGCTACTAACTGTAATTAAGTAGCACAAACGTATACGCTTTACAGGTCGCCACCAAAGCATGAACCCAAAGAGTCGAAGGGCCCGTCCGGCGCAACGGACTCCTCCATGCCACCGGAGCCACCTACTTTCGAGCCCGCAACTTCCTCCGTTGTTTCGTTTCGTCCTACGGATAACACCGGCTTCACCTCCAAGGAGCCGGTACATGACCGGATGCCTGAACCACCCTCCCGGATTGCCAGTATGCCCCTGACGGGTGAGGCTGAAGCCACTGCCGCCAGTAAGGAAGTGAAGGTGGTTGAGTCTGTTTGCCCCGTGGTCAGTGAAACGCCAAAGTTCTTCCGAGATTCTCCCGAGGAATCCCCTGTCGGGTATGCAATTCCTTCTGACTGTAATTTTAGCAATGTCGACTTAACTCGGCTTCTCTTTTTAATATTCACACAAGGTTGATTGTGTAAATAAATGTGATTTCTTCATAAGTGCAAACTGATTAAAATGTCAATTAACTAACAAATGCTAAGTATATTGTGTGGAAACAACTTTTGGAGCGGCGGACAGCTGTATTAAAAAAAACAGTTCCTTCTCACAAAAAGACTGCGCATATTTATTGATCCGCTTGACGAACAAATGTTGCCGACATGAACCGATCAGATCTGACGAGGGATCGATAGCCGTCACGCGCTCAGTACCGTGGCAACTCGTTACAGGACCGTTCTATGCGAATACTCATTGCGGGAACGTTACTGTGGATGATTTGGTGGATTGCATTTAAGTATGAAATCAAATGAATTCTGGTTTAGCTTAGCAGACCCTTTTAGCTGAATTTGATCCACACTTCACATCTATGTGCTTGTGTTCATCCGCACACATCTTGTTAACTCATTACATGATGAACCACTATCTTTCTATTGAGGATTTATCATAGGGCTGCCCAACGGCAAAAGGCCTTTCAGCCCAAATGCCTTACGGATTTCGTGGTTAAAGGGGTTAATGCGTGACCACTGCGCAGTAAGAACGAAATAAAAGCCGTTATTGTTTCAGTGAACTAAAAACGTAGGTGAAAAGGTTGTGGATAGGACAAAGGAGACTAAAGAGAAATGCTATAGAGCAAGAGTCTATTATATCAACTCCTATTGCTGGACATAATTGAGGAATTTTTCTGTATGCGATAATTCGTGGTGCTGGAGATTTGGAAGTAGTTTGTTATTATCTCTACGATAAATACCTACCTGTTTTCTCTGGTTTCAGTCCAGAAAAGCTACC